GCCCTCAGCTTTTCTGCTGATATAAAATATATAAACAACAGCTAAAAACACCACCACAATATCTTAGGGGTAACACACGCCATATTAAAAAAAGTCACTTCAAATTATTTCAATGAACACAAAAGGACTAGAAAACCTGGAGGAAGAAATGTTAATGGAACTTCCAGAGAAGGAACTCAGGATCTGTATACTTGGACTTTTTAAACAATTTAAGAAAGAGATAACCATAGACAAAATAAAACACAGACAAAACTAGAAGAATTTAGAAAAATAACACAAGGGGGAAAATGGTAAACTAAGTGGAAAATTAGAAACCATACAAAAAAAATCCAGCAAATAGAAACCCAAAAGGTTAATAAATAGACAATGTACTGGAAAAGAGGTAGATTTGAATCAATGGAGGACAGAATGAACAAAATTGAAAGTGAATATTTTAGCATTATGTTATAGAAACTAGCAGAAAAAGAATGAAAAAATTAAAACTAATAATTTTGTGACATATTATCCAGAAAAACAACTTATATGTGAAAAGTCAAAGAAAACAAACAAGTATACCAAGAACAAAAACACTGAGAAAACTGTTGGATGTTTGTTGAAAGAAAACAAACCCCCAGTAAGATAGAACCCAAAAGAAAATCATCATGACATATCTTAAAAATTAAACTTTCCAAAACAAAAGACAAAGAAGAATCCAGAAAGCAACTTGGGGAAACAAGTAACCTGCAAAGAAACTCTGCAATTAAACTCTGATTTCTTAGCAGAGACCATGCAGTCAAGAACCCAATAGAATGACACATATAAAAACACCCTGAGAGGAAAAAAAAATTGCTAATGAATAATCATATATACCGGAAAATTGTCCATCAATTTTTGTTGTTGTTATGTGCCGTCAAGTTGTTTGCGACTCATAGCGACCCTATGTACAACAGCCCTAAACCCTGCTCTATCCTGTGCCAGTCGCATTGCCTGTGACACACCCATCCTGGTTATCCCAGTCACTGAATCAATCCACCTCATAGAGGGCCTTCCCCTCCTGCGCTGTCCCTCTACCCTTCCCA